CTGTTGCATTTGCTGCATCTGTTGCATTTGCGACATTTGCTGCAGTGGAGAGGGTGAGGCCTGGCCTGACGGGGTTCTTTGGAGTTGTGCGGGCAGCATCTTGTTCTGCGGGTGCTGGTGGTACTGCTGCTGCGCACGTATCTGTTGAGCCTGTTGAGCCGCTTGCATTTGCTGTTGTCTTTGTTGTTGCTGTTGGAAATAGCGTTGTTGCGGTGTTGCAGAGCCACTCGCAGGTACCTGCGGGCTCTGGTACGGTGATGGCTGATTCTGAAGGGGCGTTGGTGTCGGTGGTTGCGACGATGCCTGGACCAGAGGGGTGTTGACGGGCTTGGCCAGAACAAGCCAGCCGTCGACGGGAGCCGTTACTCCCAGGATGAAGACACAACGCGCATCGCTTGCAAGCCTTGCTCCTTCCAACCGAGTAACGTGGAACCGAACGTCATCCGTTATGTAATCGGCCAAGAACACAGTGACATCAAAGACATGTTCGGTAATCGTAGGATATAGTTCCAAAGACGGATGCATGAGCAAGGCAGCCATGGCACTCATCAAAGCGGTCTGATGTGGATGTGTAGCCTCGGCCAACATGTCCGGTGCATGAGATACTACCAGACGAAGTAGGGCGTTCAACCAAACATAAATCTCTAGAACAGAGAGTCTGTTGTCTTCAAGAGCTTGACTTATGCCTTTGAACCTCTCGACCAAGGCTTGGAGAAGCGCAATCTGTTCCGTAGATGTCGCGCGCTTGTTGGAAGTCAGATCGATGACAGTGAGATATTTTTGTACTACTGCGGGCGAGACCTTCTCTGGTTCCTCTACTTTGACGGTGGATGTCATACACAAAAAGCTAGAGGCATTCAAGATCTCGCGTTCAGCGTGCTGTCGTATTTGGTCGGTGAGAGCAGCGTCCAAGCTCGCAAGTAGCCCTAGTCCTGAAGGTTGATCCTCTTCCACTGCTGTCTTGATGGCACTCAAGAGGGAAGCAGAAAGTACCTCACCGGAGCCTCCCAGCGCGGTTGCACTAGATGAGAACAGCTGCTCGATAGTCGCTTGGCAGATTGGTAAAGACAACTCGCTAGTAAGTGCAAAAACTGCAAGTACCTGCTGTTCGGGGCTCTTGTCGGGCAACCGTAAGTGACCTTTGGGGTCAAGTAGGCTGTCCAACGACGGCTTGAGCAAATGACTCGAGGCATCCCTGTTCAACTTTGACAAGCATCCTGGATCGCCGGCAATGCGATGTTTCAGAACATGCAGCATGGGCTTACTGCGTAGGAACTCTGAGACTTGTCCCTGAGCCTTCTGAGAAGTAATGGTTGAAGCAAGCCCAATCACCTCACTAACACATTGCGTAAAGCACCCTTCGGTTTCCAAGCAGAGCTTTCGTTGCTCCAAGCGGTATCGATATGCATCTTGCGGCGAACAAGACTGAACTAGAGCGTCAGACGGCAGAGTGATCATCATGCCTTTGAGAGCAGTTTGGAGGCCACCTTCAGAAGGATTGGTCTTGAATTTTGCGATGCAAGTTCTGAGTGAATCAAGGAAGGACGCCAAAGGAATACAGCCTGAACCAACAAGTGTAGGCAAGGCTACCCGTAGGGTATCAGTCCTTTGAGCCATCAAGCTCAGAAGCAGCCATTCATTCACGACCATGTCGAAGGTCGGCTCATCGAAGCAGCGCAGCCGATGGAACCATGCATGGTGATTGTTCAAGTGGAAAGAGCCCTTGGCTAGATGTTCCTCTAGGTTGCTGACGATCTTCCTCAGTACTCGTCCCATCATCTGTTGATCCATGCTGGTACCACTCGAAAGTATGCGTTCAATCTCGTCATTGGAAGACGATCCTGTTTGCATGACCTCACCCATGTTGTCGGAGGCTGGTGAACAGGCTACAAGAGAGTTCCTTTGGTTCAGTTGGCTCAAATCATAGTTGAGGAGCTGGGGGAGTTGGCCATCAGCTTGTGCTGTACGAGCTAGACTGGCAAGACTAAGCAGTAATTCGCGATCCGGGAGTCGGACAGTTCGTAGAGCGGCATATCTTGTGGCAATTCTAGCAAACAGTGGGTCAAAGGCACCTATTGCACGAAAGGTTCTGGCGTGGTAGTTGATCGTGTCCGCAGCAGAAGCAAGAACACTGGAGTCCAAGGATGTAGTTGCGACGCCGACAATGTCCGCAAGGATAGCAAGGTCTCCGAATCGCTCAAGGTACGATCTTACAGTGTGAAAGTCCCAGGGCGTTAGAAGAGAGACCGCGGCGGTTTCTTCGACTGAGGAGTCCTTCGTGGGTATGCTGTATAATGTAAGCGAAGTCATGGTTAATTTACGAGAATACTTACTGCGCGCTAACCTCGGCATACTGAGCGACGTGTTGACGCAACCAAATGCCCAGTTCGAGCTTGATCGTCGAACTGAGCTTGTCTAGCTCTTCGTCGTTGAGCTTATTTGTGGTACTGTAGATGCCAAACAAGGTAGGTAAGGTCTGAGATATCATGTGCTCAGCGTAGCCAAGAGCTCGTTGTTCCAATTCGGCGGAGTGTAAGGTTCCACGGAGGAGTGTGCTCCGCAATGTACGGATTTGGTCCGGTAGCCCACTGAGGGGTATCTCGGTGATCAAACGCAACGGCCAGGACTGCGGCTATCGAATAGTTAGAACCAACAGATGGAACTTGTGGGGCATGACTTACTGAAGACAGATCTGTATTGTGACCTGTAGATCCCGTAGCAATAAGCCACTGAAGGTAGCGCCCAGTAGCGAAAGTCTTTGAACGGACCAGTTCAGCAACGATTTTGAAGAGTATATTTGAATCGCCGGTAGCAACCCACGTCATGTCGCGGAGGTGTGAAACTATGCCGTCATATACGTCCGCGCCGAGGTGGTTCCATCGACGAAGTAATCGCGTCGCCAGATAGATCCTGTGTGCTCCTGCTCGGTAATAAGTACATGCCCACTGGAGGAGAACACCGATCAAGCGTGGAGCGTCGGCGATTATCTCCATGCAGTCACAGGACAAGTCCTCAATACGCACTGGCTTGCTGTAGTCTACCGAGTCCAGTACCCGATAGACGCGGCCAGCCGGTGTCTGTGAGGCCGAAGGAACTTTCTTCGGCGATCGCAGGAGCCTAGCGTTCCTCAGCTCGAGCCTCCGGATCGCTTGCATGACATGTGCATGATTCTTCCTTTCAGCGAGATTCCGCAAGAGGGGACAATATCTGGCCCACGCAGTCGGAAGCAGCAGGCAAGCAGGTCGTGTGGCGAGCAAGCGGACAATGGTGTTTTCAAGGTATTGCAAAACGGCGATATAAGGTCGCAGATCCTCAAGTCGATAGATTTTGTCGAGCTGGGTGAGCAATGACTCGGCGAGACGTTTGCCGCGGCGTCGACAGCAGGTTACAGCGGTCCAGTAGTGTGATATGGAAACGACCAGCAGCCAGATAAATAGGCGTTCCGAGGGACAGGTATCCAAGCCATTGACTATCCAGTCGAGAAAGTGGTCGTCGTCGAGCAGATGCTCTTTGTAGAGATGGGTCGCAAGCTGGAGGGCGTAGGTGATGCGGGGTTTCCAATCACCCTGGCCAATGGTACTGATGACGCCGTCTATGAATTGCTCGACCGAACTGGTCCAGCCTCTGCCCCATGTCACGGTACCGGCCTGGCCCTTTCTTTTATGCGCACGCAGCTCGTTGATACCTACGCATTTGGCCAGCCACAGGGCTCTCGGCAGAGGAATGTGCTTGTTCAGACATTGTTCGAGCAGCACTTTGCCAGTGAGGCCGTGCGGTATGGTGCGGCTGAGGCGGCGAAGGCCAATGGTTGGGTTGGCCAAGTCGTGCAGCCACTGCTCGCGGGTCGAGTCTCGCAGGGTCAATCGCGGCGGGGGCTTGAAGGTGTTTGGGGTTTGGAGGCGGCCCGTCTGCTGTCGCTTCTCCAGCACGGCGACGAACAGGGTCGACAGGGTGCTGAGGCCCGACTTGTTCTTGAGGTTGTTGATGAGCGAGGGGCGTGCGGTATTGGACTCGTTCATGATCTGGGGCTTGTTGCTGACGCCTGCCTTGACTAGCGCCTCGGACAGGTTGTCCTCGGGGTTGTTGCCGGTCCATGGAAACAGATCGGCAGCCTTCCCACCGGGAAAATGGACGGGTGGAACGACGACTTCGGGCCCACCGGGTTTGGGCGCGTCTTTGACTCCGGTGCCGCCGGGCAGTATGCGACGCTGGTGCGAAGCGTCTCTCAGGTGCAGGGAGCCCGGGCGTGGGGGCTGGGGCAGGTTGGCGGCCGGCTGGTAGGGAAAGGAGTGCAGGGGCAGCTCGGTGCCGTGGGTCGGGATGGTGGTGTAGAAGAGCGGCGGGCGTCCTCGCGGGGGCGGCCTCGCGGCATCGTGGAGGGCAGTGTGTGCCGGTGGACGGTCGTCCTCTAGGGCCGGGTCGATGCAGTCCGGCTGAAGGAGGGTGTGGGCGGGCTTCGAGGGCCGGCGCTGCACCTGGGACCGAGGAGGCAGGGCGCTGCCACGAGTCTGTAGAGATTCGTGAATCCCCGGGCCAGGTCGAGAAGTCATCGCACACACAGCGGCTTCATCGTTGTATCAGGCGCATGCAGTGGGTGGGCCAAGGGAGCGAGCGACGAGGGCTGCGAGGTCAGGAACCGCGTCGATGGGGCGGCGGCATGTGCGAGCCTCACACGCGGGCAGCAAAGGAGGGACGGCGGTGCGGCTCGGATGGGGCTGATGGACAGAGCGAGGCGTGTCGAGGGAGCGACGGTTGACGTGATGTCTGAGGTTATCTTGGATTGCGAACAGCGGAGTCGATCACCCGGTAATACGATAGAGCGAGCAGGGATCCACGCTACGACGCACTACGACGGGGGCCAGCGCCATGCCGGCCCAGCAAGACACACAGCCGCCGCTCACGCCGCCCAGTCCGAGTGCTGCACCCTATCCTCCACCACCCATCTCCACCCGCCCACACACCTGCCTACACCTGCCCGACACCTGACCGCCAGCTCCACGATGGCCTCCAGAAAAGACATGCGCCGCGCCGACCTGAGTACGTGATGCCGCACCGCGCCCTCATAGGGGTTCCACGGCTCGACCCGTCCATCCCAACGCCATTGATCACGTGTCTAACCCACCTCCTCCTGCAGTCGTGCCCTATGCCGAGCCAGAGAAGGCCAAGGACGACAACGACATGTCGAGCACGCTCTCGAGCACACTGCCCATGGCTGCTGTAAGTGCTGCTCTCCCAATCCCATGTTGCACGGCTGATATCGTGTCCCAGATCTTCACGCGGAACAAGTAGGCAACACCCAGATGCGCGCAAAACTCCATGACTGACATCACGCGTGCTGCACAGGATGATCGGCTGGTAGGCTTCCCCATCTTGTGCCACGTTCCCTAATTGACTCGACGCAGGGTTGCTGTAGTATTCGCTATCCAGTCGTGGCTTGCTGAGACCCCCGAGCAGAAGAAGACGTCGACTACACCCGCCTACTTCCAGGTTGGCATGTCTGGTATGTGCCGATTCCCGTTGTGCTTGCTCAGACAGCTAACCAGATCACAGCCATGTCGCTCCTCGTTGTAAGTTCGGCCCTGGCTCCGACAGATCTCGTGTTGATGCTGTACCACAGACCTACTCGTCAATATTCCTCCCCCCACCACCTATCAGGCCGGGCCAAGCATCTGGCACGGAGGCGTTTGCTGCTGCGCCGCCGTCGTAGGCCGCCGTAGGAGAGGTTGGTGCGTAGCCGGTACTCAGGTAGCAACGGTACCGTGTAATTGTATAATTCGACGTCCTCGCCGAGCAAGCGACAATACATGTCAGCTCGCTCGTAATACCCATATCACTTGCACGCCCCATGTGTCCCATGCTACCCTCGTCTTGTCTCATTCGCACCTCCAGCCTCGCATCCGGTACCGAGCCCTGAACGGCAAGCATCACCCTTTTGGCGCGCACAGACCACGGCGGGGCTCGCCTTCCTCTCCCGCCGCATTCCCCACCTCTTTCTCTCAGCCTGCTCTACGCTACAAACCTTGGAACCCTCACTTGCACCCTCCCGACTTGTCACCACCCCAAAACCACCCCAACTCCACTCCCAGCCCACCCAAGAAATCGCCGCTACCCAAAGCATCCATACCCAACTACCCCCCACCTACACGCGCGCTCACCGACTGTCGTATGTCCATCGAGAACCTCAAGACCTTCGGTAAGTCGTGACCCTCGAGGCGCATACCAGGCAGCTACTGACACGATATTCATAGACCCGTTCGCGGAAGCGGATGAAGATACCGGCCAGGTCAAGCAGACTCAGCAGGACTACATTCATATTCGTATCCAACGTAGGTCCCTCACCGCCCTTGCCCACTGATGCAAAAACCTCACCACGCACCCAACCCATTCGCACACCTCGCTCCTGCCCATAACGGCCCGCATCTGCCATACGCTATTCTTTAGCCGCACCAGGCTAACACGACATTAGAGCGCAATGGCCGCAAGACCTTGACGACTGTCCAAGGTCTCCCCAAGAAATTTGACCAGAAGAAGATCCTCAAGGTGATCAAAAAGAAGTTTGCCTGCAATGGCACCATTGTAAGCGACGCCGAGATGGGCGAAGTCGTCCAACTCCAGGGCGATCAGCGCAAAGACGTCCAGGACTTCTTGACCGACAAGAAGGAGGGACTTGGTCTCGATGCGAAGACGATCAAGGTGAGTCACAGCCCGGCACGATTTAGCATCGAGTCACAGTCTAATCAGAAATCAGGTCCACGGTTTCTAGTCGTCCATGACTACTACCTTGTGCCTCCTCGATATGCCAGCTGCCCTCGTCCGTGGCACGGCTAAAGCGGCACAGCTTTTTGTAAGCTTGCGTCATACGCCTCTATACCAGGATGAAGAGAGGGGCGGAGTACGAGGCTGGTTCGAGCACATGCGCGGCAGTGGAATGCTGGGCGCCGAATGAATGCGTGTACCTGGATTATCGTTATTGCTACTGGCAAGAGCTCAAATGACATGACCACCTTCCTCTACACAGTGGACTTTTTTCATGTAGCATGCTCCACGTGATGTCCGGTTCAGAGTGGAGCGCATATCTGCAGCTTCAGAGCTGGGTTTCCAGATCATACATGGCTACGTCTGAAGTTTCTAGGCACAATTACATGCCCTCATGATGTCCATCACATGTACAAATATTGTTACAACGTGTCTATCCCCAGAGCTACCAACACTATACAGCACCACCAGCCTGTACGTTCAGCATCTGCGACCAATACAGCTCTTCTCTCGCAAGCACACTCGGCGTGGACGCCTCGGTGAAGCCCCAGACCTTCCAGTCCTCCTCCGTACCCTTGATGACTCTCTTCTGCAACACCAGATACTCGACTACAGTCTTCTTAACTCCATTATCGATAAACGCCTCGTCGCTCTTGGCGACCGGCTTCTCCGTCTCCACTTCATCCTCGGATTTTTGCCTCTGTTGACGTGCCTTTTCCGCTCGTTGGCGCGCAGCATCTGGGACCCAGGGTAGCCGAGCAGCAGATATGGGAGACTTGGAAATTTTGGGCGATGTCGGCGTAGACCGTTCGACGGATTGAACGGATACGAGGCGTACAACGACTTGTCTGTACGCTGTGTCTGGTGTCTGCTCGCCCAAGGGCGACGCGCGGTGGCTCATTACGCGCGCGGATTTGAATTCGTGCAGGTTCCATTTCAGGGTCGTCTTGCCGCGGGCGGCGATTCGTTGCTTAAGTTTCTTTACGAGGGGTGGTAGGCATACTTGCTTGAGGGGCGTTACGTTGCCTCTGTTGGTTGGTTTGTGTTAGTGTGTTTGCAAAGTATGTCATATGAATTTTCGGGAGAGACGTACGAGGCGAAGCTTCTGTAGATGTGCTGGTAGTATCTCTTGGCTAGGACTTTGTATTGTGTGTTATGGAAGAGGTCGACGGGTAGATATTTTGTCCAGCCGGACTTCTGGATGCAATCGCGGTAGTAGTATCGTCTAAGGGTTTAGGTTAGTCCTATACGCTTTCAACTTTAATTTCGGATGTGTTGTCCTTCTTCTTCTTCTGCTTCTCCCCTCATGTCCCAGGCCCGGTCCTAACCCGAAGAAAGTCCAACTTACGAGTAGAGACCTGTTGCCTTTTGCTTGACAATCTCCCAGTAATATCTCAGGACCCCTCCGAGGCCGGGCGATCCATTGTACACGTCCAAGAATGGCGCCCTCACGATAGTATTTTGCAGCAGACCAATGTCCTCCGCCATGGCATCTGTGTTGGTTTGCGCTTGCTCAAAGTTGACATTTGGTGAGGGCGAAATTTGGGATCGGGCTGCAGCTATGGCTTGCGCTTTATCTTGTCCGAGTTGTCTGTGCTTTGCTGGGTGTGACGGGGTGCTGGAGAAGGCGCGGCGGGAGGATGGGTGGGTTATGGTGGGTTGGGCGGCGTGCAGGAGGGTTTGGTGGCGGAGGAAGAGACATTGTCGTTGCAGCGCCGGTATCCGTATGCTCCGGAGTGGCATTTGTGAGGACATTGCGGGGGGCTGGCTTATGCTCGGGGCGAGCGTTGGGCGTTCGCGATGAGGATGCTTAATATGTCAAAGTCGATCAATGTTCGGGCGCGAAGTTCGCGCTAGTGAGGTACATGTGCGATTGGTCGGGTCGCACCGTGCCCTGCTGAACTTGCACACTCACAAGCAAGTTACAAATTACAAGGACCAATGCAGAGAGTACTAGATGGTTTTCTGGTCAGGAATACTGTTCAAGTGCACTTGGTCGAGTGGAAGCCGAATTCCGTTCTTTATGCGCAAATCTCATGTCGTCATATATTCTTCCATCTTTCTAACATAATACAAGTACATGCTCGGCAGGAGCAGAGTGGTGATACAAGACGCCGTGTATGCGTCGCAAAATCCCAACTTTTCATAACGCCGTTTGTATGCATCCAGTCCTATACATGTTTACACCACCTCTATACCGGCGTTGGTAATCACATGTTACTGCTCTCTCCGAGGAACTTGAGCACACCTTCATATGTTCCAAACATGATGGCGGCACTAGGTACCACACGGAACATGTGAGGAACCAGACCGCCGTAGAGTGCTGCCATACCCTCTTCCTTCCATATTAGTCGAAAACACTGAACGAGGCCAGTGTACTTCTGTCGGCCATCTTCCATTGGTGCTTGCCGCAGACGCGTTCGCACAACCTCATGGGGATATGTGATGAGCGCTGCGACAAATTTGGCAGATCCAGCGGCAGTCAGCTTGCCAGTCCATGCTACAGTCTGGTCCCACACGGTTGGCGGTCTGCCACTAGCAATGACGCGCTCTTCTCTCCGTGCTAATGACAGCTTCATTTGCTCGTAAAGCATCCACTGTAATGTGCTCTCGGTAACGCCCAAGTAGCTTGCAGTCAATCCGCGATATAAGCCACGGACACCCTCCTTCCGTATGGTCTGCATGGTGCAGTCGAATGCGTTCTTGTATTGCCGCCCGCGGCCATCCGAGTGTGTGTTTTTGTCCAGTTGCAGTCGTGTCTTGACCAGCCAGATGGGATTCGTAGCGGTCCCAGTCACGATACCAGCCGCTGCTGCACTACACAGATGTACCCATGCTGCCTCTTGACCATTGTTGAAATGTGTGCTGATCAGACGCTTGCCGTTTCCGTATGCAAAGAAGTTGATTGCGCGTGCGGGGACTACTCCGATGAGATTTGGTCCCAGTCCTTTGAAGAGAGCTCGCCACCCCTCTGCCTTTGGGACCTGCCATAATATCTCTCCAGTTTCCCGTATGTGCAGTAGCGAGCTGCGGCCGAAGGACATGGTCTCGATGGGGGGCAGGCCGCGGGCGGTGCGCATTGCGGCAAGATGCTGCTGGTAGAAGGTGGATTGCAGCCGAGTCTTGAGGACATCGAGCGGGGCTGTCAAGGTTGCTGAGGCCATGCCACCCAGGCTGTGACAATGTTAGTCCTCAAGGCGTGGTCCAGTGTGAACTGTAGTCTTACCCTCCGGCGACAAAATGCGCCCACGACTTTCCAGACTTGACATCTTGTTTAGCTACCGGTGTCCCATCTGGCTGTTTTGGAGGGGTGACTTCTCCCAGCTCTCGCGACGAAGGGGGCAGTGGTTGCAGCGGCTGGGTTGTGGCGTCTCGGAGGCCTCGAGGTCTGGGTGCTTCTTGCAGTGGCATCGAGGCAGGGGAGGCGCGTGGCGATTGGTGGCGGCGTGGGTTGAGGAAGGCGCACGCAAAGTCAAGGGTCGGAGGTTCGGGGCGTCGGCTGCTGTGGTATCATGAGGGGAAGTCGTCGCGCCGGGCAGTGGAGGGTGGTGGCATGTGTTTGCACATGCAGTGGTCCCCAGATTTTTGGAATGGTCATCCAAAGCGGCTAGCGGCTGGCGAGACTACCGCGGCGTCATTCACACCCCAGTGCCATGGATTGCGTTGTGAGCTCATCGAGGCCCCTGGGAAGAGCACACACCCCACGCAGCCATGCGACCAACATCGGCGTGCCTCGCGCCTGGCTTCGTCAAGCGGAGTCTGGACGAGTTCAAGCGCCTCTCCAACTTCGGTGAGCTCTGCAGCTGCATGTGTGCATGCGCCGCCACTGACACGCGCAGCACTCAAGCTCGAGGGCCTGCGCTCCCCGTCCAAGCCCTTTCCGCTTATGCACTTCGACCACGCTGAGGATCTGGAACGATGCAAGCGCATGAGCGACAAAGACATCGGCGGCTTCTCCACCGTCAACTTCGACCACCATCCTGTCTCCCAGACGGAACCCCCCCACGTCCGCTTCCATGGCACCATATCCACACAACTGCCACACAACCAGCCACACATCCAAAGAACGGGCTATGCCGGATGGAGGACACTTGATCGAGGCTCCACCATCTTTGGCAAGTCCCTGTGGGACGTGAGCATGTACAACTTCCTCGCAATCCAGTTCAAGTCGGACGGCCGCAAGTACTTTGTCAATGTGCAGACCGAGTCGATTGTTCCTACAGACATCCACCAGCACCTGCTGCACTCCAAGACACCTGGCGAGTGGGAAACCATTTTAATCAGGTGGAACGAGTTCGTGCGGACGAACCATGGGCAGGTCGTAGAGCCACAGAGGGAGATGTTGACACAGAAGGTGAGGACGGTGGGCATATCCTTGATAGACCGTATACCGGGGCCCTACGATCTGAGCATTAGCAAGATTTGGGCAACAAATGCGACAAACGAGGACGAATTTCTGAACAGCGCTCCTGTGCCGCGTTTGCAGTCAAGTGCGAACGATCTCAAGAAGGTCGCGAGGAAAGACTCAGGATTTGGCCATGCGTCACGGGAAACAGTTGCATAGATGTAGACGTTCATATCCATATCAAACTATGAAATCTTGTATACAGTCGTGAAATGAAGTCTGTACCGCCAGATCGCCGGCAAATTGATGGCTTGGTAACCTAGGCACCAATCGGGTAGTGATTGGGGCACCTGGGCAGTCTTTCGGGCGCATGACTTCGCGACAAGTATTGTACGCGCTGCGCGCCGCCTCGGTTGTTCATTCCCTCCCACGACCTCCAACAAACACCACATCCTGGACGTCGCAGCCTTGCCTGACAATCAGCAATCGCCTTACCTGGATACAATGCACATATCGCGCGGAATCACACGACAAAGGTTTTTCTGTTGGCGATAATCGCCAACGCTGACACCGTCAACGCCCAGCGCTGTGTTCTGCTACAAGCATTAAACCGCCAAACAAACATGGCCACACCGCGCTACCTCACGGCGCAAAAGATCAGCCTTCTTGTCTTGACCCGTCTCTACTGCACTTCAAGTCTTCCCTATTCCGCTACGATACCCGTACTTTCCTTCATCTTGTCAAACAATCTTCCTTCGGCACCGTCCAGCGCTCGGCCACAGCGCTCCAACATCTCCAGTCAACAAGACACGTGTTTCTCAATCGATGCCTTTGAAGATGTACTTCAAGAACACCCCTCCAACATGCCGGGCCGAACTCTTCTCGATCTCTTCCTCAAACACATGTGGGAAATGAACTCTTTCGATGCGCTGCACGCTCTCTTCGACAGTATCCTAGATTTGGTTACACCTCCGCCACACGGTACACAAGATCAAGAATCACCAGATCGGATCCATCTTTCCAAGACATCACCACTTGGAGCTTTTGTTCGTAGAGCGCACCTGGAATTCACGAGGCTGCAGTTCGACGATTCAATGAAACTATGGTCTTCATTTATCAGGTACAGAGCCCCAACAGCTCAATGGACAAAGAGATTGGCTGGCTTGGCATCAAGTGGTGTAGACATGGTTGTATCCGAGATGGGTCTGAGAGCTGGCGACGACATGTACGAGATCGCGTACGGGAATCTACAAGAAGATCAAGAGGAAGGAGCGGGCATGAGTTTGAACGATCTGGATCGAATCCTGGACTTCCAACTCGATAGGCTTCAGAGGCTCGGAGACCGTGTTCCTGGCGATATGAAGAGTCAACTTCGCAATATGGTCAAGTCGTCCGGCATTGTACATCGGCAAGCGCATCTCGTACAATTCTTCGATGCCTGGAAAGCCGGAGACTACACATCTGCTTTTGACAATCTACATCGCTACTACGATTACGCTATGCAGACTCGCGAGAAGATCCATTACCAGTATGCTTTACTGCATATGGCTATCCTTCAGGCCGACTTCGGCTGCTTTGGCGAAGCGATAGCTGCTATCAACGAGACAATTGCCACAGCCCGGGAGAACCAGGACATGACTTGTCTGAGCTTCAGTCTCAGCTGGCTAAATCATATGGCGAAAGCCTACCCCAAGCAGATGAGGGGTGCCGGTTACATGAGCATGCTCGGAACTGAGAGGGATGCGTTGGCCTTTTTGAAAGCGAAAGCCAAGGAGACCAAGATGTACAGCCTGCTCTGCGCAAGTTTACTCAACGAGGCAAAGCTTTCTCTAGCGACGGTACGTAGTTCATGATCGCGTTGATAGACTACCAGGACTAACTCACACATAGGGCGACTCTATTCCCCGGGCATTAGAACATATTTATCAGTCTTCACATCTCAACATCAAAGAAAACGTCAACAGTTACGGTAGTCAAATGCTTCTCACAGGGACATTCTATCAGCGACTTGGCATCCCACATCTAGCCAACATTCATTACGAGCTTCTCCTCGATTGCTATTCACATTCCTGTCCGATTGAAGAACGTCTCCGTGCGATCGCTCGCAGAGCTTTCGTTACAAGCCAGAGCGGCCGCTACGGCGAGGCTATCATGATGCTAGAAGCTGTGGATTCCTCGGTGTACAAATCGCTCAAGTTTTACCAATTCTTGATACTTTGCATTGGCCTCATTAAGCTCAGGAGAGCCATTCGAAGGTACCATTTTACCCGCACCTGCCTAGATTCAAGTCATTCATGCTGACATCAGTGTAGATCCGACTGGTCAACGTCAACTTATTTGCTCGAAACCCTTAAACCGACAGCCTCGCCCTCTACCCCAACTCTCGATCCGGAACTCTCTTTCCTTCAACACGACACGTACATTGAGTACCTCATCTCCACATCGCAGTTTCCTCTAGCCTATCAATGCATTTCATTACTGGCACAATCTCTCAAAGAAGACAATGCAGACATCCAGCAGCGTGTTTCAGTGCTGCTAATGCAGGCAGAGTTATGGAGAAAAGCAGGTAAACCGGAGAGGGGCTTCAGCGTTGCGCTGCGGGCGGCAAGTGTGAGTTTCAGGGCGCGGCTTGCAAGTTCGCTATGGTCCGCAGTGGGCTGCCTGGGTGCGATACTGAATACTCTGGGGGAATGTCGAGAAGCGAGGAGGTTGGTCGAGACCGTGTTGCCGCAGGTACGTTGCCTTTTTATCCTTACTCGCTACGGAGTTGCATATGCTGATGTCTGGAGCAGGCTCTAGAAGGCGCAGATACCATGCTTACAGGCACTCTGTACTCGCACCTAGCAGACTCGTATATGGGTCTCGCCAATCCCACCGCCTTGACAGTCTCGACGTCGAACGCTGGTTCCCATCCCCCCTCAACACCGAGAGCAGGCGAGCTGACATCAAACCGTTCCCGTGTCGCAAACATCGCCAAAGCGGAACTCTACGTCGACCGGGCGAGGGAATGCTTCCAAAAAGCAGCGTATTTGGATGGAGAGTGCGAGCAGCTGATGAAGAAGGCGATTATAGCGAAATTGAGAGGTGATGAAAAGGTTGCAGAAGAATGGGCTATGAGACATAACAGTGTTTGGGATGAGGGTTATGGATCACAAGATGTATAGGCTGCTACCAGAATGTCACATATCACAGGACAAGGTGCAGACGCAAAGGAAATGTATTGCTGGCTACCCCAGCTTGCTTTCGCTCGTCGTACTATATACACATTGAACCCCACACTTGACCCAAATGCTGGCCCGCATGATTCTTGAATCAATGCTTGGGAGCGTACTGTGCAATAGCTTACTCATCCTTCTTGTGGTAGTTGACTTTATCGTTCCAGAAGAGGGTCTATCGTCAAGTCAGAACACTAGCCCATCACGTTGCCGTCGAAGTCTTACCTTGTCACCATCTCCCCAGAAGTAGTTCTTGGTACGGATGTTCTGGTATGCGTACTCGGGCCTCTCGGAGCGGGGGTTCTCGTGTTCCTCGTGGGCTACGTGCTCCCAATGAGCATCCCACCTGACCTTGGCGTTGACACTGGCGACGATGATGCAGGGGACGGCAACGCTATCATAGCATTAGCAGATTCTCTTGCTTTATCAACAACCCTTTTAATATGATGATCCGATACCACCATCCTCTCGCATGTGCCCTGGCTCCACGCCCTTCCCTCTGCCCCGTTTAACCCCCTCCACCTCCGGAACGGCCCCAAGTATCTAGGTACTTACTAGAGCGACAGCTTGCGCCAGAACTCGCCAGACTCAGCGGCGTGCTGAGCAATGTGGGCACGCTCGCGGTTGAACTCGTTGTCCTCGGTTCCGGCAAATTGCTTGGGGCTCTCGGAGCTGTAGTTGCGGCGGCCGGCGCGGGCAGGGGCGCGGGCGAGTGCCTGACGAGGCGCGGCGCGGGCGAAGAAGCGGGCGGCGAACATGGCGACGTTTGTTCGGCGTGATAGAGTGGAGGGGTGCAATTGGCGTTGGCGTGAGACGTGACGACGGGAGCTCGAATTGACGAAGCAGAGGCTTGGCGGATGGGCTGATGCGGAGTTTCCCGCTTGCTCTTAGCGTGGCCGCGCTCGGCTGCCGGTAATGTGACGTCGTGTCTGGCGCGTGAAGTCGCGTGTGACCGTGTCTTACATGTTCCTGTAAAATACAGAACAAATGAGATGACGACGTGATGATGTTCTTGGTTCGCGCTCACTGTCGCTCTTCATAACCGATCAACGCCATGGTCCGCATCACCACCTGGAACGTCAACGGCATTCGCAACCCGTTTGGCTACAAGCCATGGAGCAACACGAGGACCTTCAATGCCATGTTCGACATCCTCGAGGCGGACATTGTCATCATGCAAGAGTTGAAGATTCAGCGCAAGGATCTGACGGATGACATGGTCCTTGTACCTGGCTGGGACTGCTACTTCAGTTTACCAAAACACAAGAAAGGCACTTTCCACGTTACACAGTCCTTGTTCAGCGGCCTTGCACTGACACAGTCCAGGCTACTCAGGCGTTGGTATCTACACTCGCCAATCCATATGCGCCCCCATTCGCGCCGAAGAAGGCGTCCTAGGCGCTCTCTGCCCTCCCGGCTCGACCACATCGTACCGCAACCTTCCTGAATCCGCCAGCATTGGCGGTTACCTCAGCGCCGCGCAAATGGCCCATCTCCCCCCCGATCTCGACGCTGACAGCCTCGACTCAGAAGGACGGTGTCTGGTGCTTGAATTCCCAGCCTTTGTCCTCTTCGGCGTCTACAGCCCAGCGAACAGCAATGGCCTACGAGACGGTTTCCGAATCGGCTTTCTCACAGCGCTGGAAACACGAATACGGAACTTGACGAAGATGGGCAAGCATGTGATACTCACGGGTGATCTCAACGTCTCGAGAGATACCATCGACACGGCCAGGGCGGAGGAGAATATGCTGTCGCAAGGCATGACGCATGCCGAGTATCTGAGCACTCCGAACAGGCGAATCTTCAACCAGCTCTTGTTCAATGGAATGGTTCCGGGTCAACGAGACGAGGGGAGAGAAGAGCCGGTCCTATACGATCTGTGTAGGGAGTTCCATCCTGACCGCGAAGGAATGTTCACACACTGGGAGCAGAAAATCAACGCTAGGCCGGGCAACTTTGGATCACGGATCGACTTCATACTGTGCAGCATCGCGATCAAGGACTGGTTCAAGGAGGCCAACATTCAGGAGGGACTGATGGGGTCGGATCATTGTCCAGTGTACGCTGTGACGAAGGATGTGGTGCCCATGTCACAGATATCAGCGACCGGTGAGCACGGTGCTGAAGATCAGGTGCACGTGTTGGACTTGATGAATCCAGCGGGCATGTTCAAAGACGGCATGCGGCAGCGAGAGTATGACATAGTCAAAGATCTCCCAGCACTCAGCGGAAAGCTCCTAGCCGAATTTACGAAGAGGAGGAGTATCCGAGACATGTTCGCCAATAAGCCCACCCTACCAAAGTCTGCACCAGCGCCTACGGCACCGATTGCCGACGAAGAAATGCAGACAAAGGTAGATGACATGTCTACTCCCAATACGACCATGGACGACTCCGACAGAGACCTTAAACTGGCCATCGCGGCTTCCATGGCGGAAATGCCTTCAGCAGTTGATAGTCACCTTGCATTCACCCAGAGCCCGCTCAAGTCGGTCGAGAAGCGACGCGCTTCGGCATCAGCATCGCCCAACAAGCCAGTCAAGCGGGGAAAATCTAATACCACAACCACGTCCAAAGCCCCCAAGGGCCAGCAGTCGCTCAAAGGCTTCTTCCAAAGCCGAACCAAACCCGCTGATGCAGAGCCCCTCAAAGATGCAGCACCGCCCGCCTCGCCGTCTACGAACAACGATGCTCCCAGCCATTCCACCATAGACATGCCTCGTCCGCTGTCGCCCATAACCTCCGAATCTTTGGACTCCGATCCGCGCGCCTCCCAGGAAGCGTCAAAAGAAGGCTGGACAAAGCTCTTCTCCAAAAAACCAGTACCGCGGTGCGAACACGGCGAGCCTTGCATCTCGTTCACGACCAAGAAACCAGGCATGAACTGCGGAAGACAATTTTGGATGTGCCCTAGACCGATTGGACCGACGGGGCAGAAGGAAGTGGGCACGCAGTGGCGGTGTGGGACGTTCATCTGGTGTAGTGATTGGAAGGGTAGTTGAGAGAAGGGACATAATATATGGATACTGATAGATGGTTCTGCTAGGCTATGAATACGCTTCCCTGCGGCTCGCATTGGTTCTGCTTACGATGACGATGCTAAAATCCTCAGGGCAGTTGTGGAGACTGAAGCTCACCGCAGAAATAGCAGGCAGATCAAAAGTGTCTGCATAGTTACAGTATCACCTATCAGGCTCGGCAATGAGATTAATAGTCACGCCGGGGCGAGTAGAAGGAATTTGAAAGTTATAGGGCCGTCCATGTCAGACCATATCAATATGTCATGTTCAATGGTGCAAATAAGACCACAGTCTCGACAACTAATATACTAAGTGCTCTACAAAACCGTTGACGTCGATCCTAGAAGCTACAACGCTATATGCATCTACGTAGTACGCCGTAATGCTACTGTGGTTTCTCTGCTCGACTTAACACTGAAATAATATGTGTGTGTTGAGATGTTGCATTAGTCGTCTCTATAATGGCACTGCATTCGGCTATAACTCTACTAGTATACATTAGACCTTGAAGACTGCTCTTAATACACTTTCAGTACTTGTTATGAAGCTGTGAAGATCTCAGGGAGTTCTAGTAAGTGTGTTAGGGTCACTATCTTGCTTTTTGTCAGCCCGTAGGCCTGCCTCGCAGACAGGCATATACCTCTATATAGCTGTACCAAAGCACTGCCGATAAGTTTAAGAAACATTTGAAATGGTGAAAAGACAATTTAACAGGCGCTCTGTAAAGGCTGAAAGGTCTATGAGCCTTTCGGTCATATCCCTTTACTGTAGAACAGAGAGGAGTGTATGCCTAACCAACATTTACCCCGGTCGTGACTCCTCGCAGCCAGAGCCCGGACGTCACCACTCGTACGTCGGTCACGCCCAAAGCTATCAGAGGTGCATTGAGTTTTGTACAAATATTTAATTCTATGCTTACCAGGATTGACGTAGAAATGCATTGTACATAGATGCTACCTCTTGGACTGAGTTATAACACCTAAGCTATCTGTTGATTTGACCGTACGACCACTGTGTAAAAGGTCACAAAAACTTTGCCTAACTCATCTTCATATATTTAAGAGTCTTTCATGAAGTACTTGCCAGGCTAGACATGAGCTTGTGTTGGCGATACTCCTGCCAGTCAGCCATCCTCGATTTCAACATCCAACCCGACACCAAACGAAGATGTCGTACCTATATGTCCCATCCACCTATTAGAGAACCCGAATGTTGATTCAAATCCTATGAGTCACCTCCGCTTACGCCTAGGCACATCAGAGTCCTTCAGCACATGGGCGCGCTCGGACGAGCGGCGAGACAGTTTCGGCCATTATGATACCTGGGCACCAATACACCACCACCCCTCCAAAACCGCAGCGGCAGAGATATTAATACGCGACTCATGAGTCCGGCAGCTTCACTAGGGGATACTATATAACGACCTCAATGTCGGGACTGAAACACCACCATCATGCAAGCCCGTCACACCCTTCCATGCAGCCACCAACACTACAATCACATACTTGCATACATCTCCTTACATGCCAACTCAAAGTCATGTCGGTCAAGCAATTTAGTAAACAGATCACTGCATATTGCTTTCAGATCACGCTAGGGAGAGGTGAGCTTTTTATATGTGCATTTTTGGTATCTTTTATTTATCTATTTTTGGAGTTGATATGTTCGTCTGATGCTGCGCATGCGCGTACGACCGATGATGTGTATGCTACACCGTGTAAGACATAGGGTCTGGACGGGGTATCTGAAGTGGTGACCACGAACCATATATCGTTGAAGGCAACTTGGTTGTGATCGAGAGAAAAAACACACGCTTCACCCATGTTCCCATCATCAAGACCCAGAAGTCTCTTTTATGGGATCGTGCATCCTGTATGCACATTGCGTCAGCTGTCGTGGGTTGTGGTCGTAATCGTAATCTAATCG